TGGATCACTAGGAGAGTCTCCTCTGGCATCTCTGCCTCCGTCCTTTTCCCATTTCAATTCACCTTCTGCCTTGTTCACAGCGTGACTCAACTAAATTTCAAATGTGATCATATTATCCCTTGCTTAAAATGCTTCATGTTTTTGCATTTCTTGGTCTGTCTATCATTGGTCTCTCCATTTGCCAGTTTGTCAGACCACTGATTAACCTGGCGTGTATAAAATGTTATCCTTTTTACTGTCCCTTCTGGCTGAAAGGCTCAGCTCTCAATTTCCTGAGAGTTACCCCTCATCTCTTAATATGTCCCAGACTGGAACACCTTTAATTCCATTCAGGTAGAATAACCCCCTCCTTCATGTATTCACAGGACTGTATTGTAGCTAATCCACCCAGCTGGCCTTCACAGCTGGTCTCAAGTCCCTCCTGCTCCAGGTACCACCTGCGGGGAGCCAGCCCAAGCCTCCGAGCTTTCCCACCCACGTGCCACTTGTGAGGGCCCTAAACCCACTACTTCATTCTCCCTCACCCAGGGGCAAATGAGATACAGAACCAGTTTAACAAACGGGCAGCCAGGGGGCTCTTGCCTACTAGTAGGAAGAGGAGGGAGTCCCCGTCTGGCTTATCTTGCCTTTATTCACCCAAACACAGCTACAAGCAATGAAAGTAACACAAGATTCATCTGCTTTCCCGTATCATTAGCATATATTCAAGTAAACAACTTAACCTCAACTGTCTTAACTTTTACCTAGAACCTGTAATATACAATCACCCCCACCCCCACTGAGTGCAGCCTTTCTCCTTTGTGCTCACAGAGGAGGCCAATGAGGTTTCAGTTATCCTCCGGTCTCCCACATTAAATGATTGGTTTTTAGCCAGGGACAATTTTGACCCCACAGGACAACTGGCTATGTCTGGAGACAGTTTTGGTGGTCATTAATCTTGCAGTGAGGTGCTATAGGCATCTAGTAGGTAGCATCCATGGATGCTGCTAAAGATCCTACAATGTATAGGAAAAGCCCACCCCTCCCACATGACTCCCCCGACACTAAAGAATTATTTGGTCCAAAATGTCCATGTGCACAGGTTGAGAAATTGTGATACAGATCCTGTCACAACATGGACAGCACTTGATCACACCTATCTATTTACATATATGTCCCTCCCTAGTAGACTCTTAAATTCCTTGAGGGCATACAGCATGTCCTGCCTCTACACTTTTAGAAGTCAGTATTGCCTCTGTGGAATGAATATATGTGAGAAAAGTAAGTAAATTGTTGTATCTTGCCACTTTATCTGACAAGCCAACATCTGCTTCTCCAGGAAAAGTGGGTGGGAGCATAAGATGCTTGGGGTTGGTATAGTTAAGAAGTGGGCCTGGCAGAGAAGCTGTACTTATGCCCAACTGCTAGCCTACTAAAGTCTAAGTGTCCATCTCTCTCAAGTCCTCTATCTCCTCTTAGCCCTCATTCTATAATTCTATAATTCGCTGAAATCACTAAGACTGCTGTTTCTCCCTCAGAAATATTTTCTGAATCCAGGCCACTCCTACCGCCAAATCCTTGGATCAGATTCTCACCAGCCTCACTTTCTTAGACTTTTGCTTTCATCCCTAAGTGATCTCTGTGCCATCTATAAATCAAGAATGTAAAACTTAAATCCTTACGTATAGTTTCCAGTTCTAAAATAAGATCTGCAACTTCATCTAGTGCCAACAAAGTCTTCCTTATCCATCAAATAATCCATATAAATCAATATTCATACCTTCATTTATCTATATGGATATAAATTTTCAAAGCACTACATGAGAATAAGTATACTGATTTAGAAAATACTGTAGTCTTTCAAGACCTTTCATCTTGGAAATGAACTCAAAAGTCAATTTTAATTGGTCCTTACGTTTCTTCTAGTAGCCTCATGACCCACAGATGGCAGTCTGTTAACAAACTAAACAAGGAGTAGGATATTAAAAGTTTTAAAATGTGCATACAGAATATTTTCATCAATGAGATTAAGCAGTTCTTTCATTTAAAAAGGAATCTAAAAGAAAACAGCAGCAGTATTAGCAGAGCAGATGAGGCCAGAAGACCTCATGTGCTGGCTCAGCACCCTCCCAACTCCTCCACATTCCAGAGTTGCTGTGTTAGCCTTTTTACCATGGGACATGATGCATTTTCTCAGATATTGTCATCATTCATTATCTCAATCAGATTGCGTTGCAAGCAGGTACTTACACTGCTTTATATGTGGATATAGAAAATGAAGTAAGGATTCTGTAACTTGTCAATGGTAAATGCACAGAGTGTGAGCAAGGGTCCAACATGGACTTCCACACCCAGTAAGGCCTGTTCACATTGGTTTGCTCTTATAAGAAATTTCTCTACTTTAGTGGGAAACAGTACAGCTGAAAAATATCATTTGGCCAGATATCCTACTCATTCTTGGAGTTAAAAGGTGCAATTATTGTATAAATCTTTAGCTAGCCTTGTAGATCATTAACTTGTGACTGAATCAAAATGAGAAAAAAATTAATGATGCACATAGTTTCACATGAGCTGGAAGTGTAACTCAGTAGTACAGTACAGCACTTGCTTAGCTAGCATATGTGAGGCCCTGGGCTTGGACCTCAGTGCATGCATGCACGTGTACACACACACACACACACACACACAAAGTTTGATGCTTTTCCTAATAGTGAAGTTTCTCCAGGGTCATGAAGAAACTATATTTAATAACAAATATTAGCCAGCATGGTTGGCTTAAGCCTATAATCCCAGCATTTGGAGAGGCTGAGGCAGGAGGATGGCGAGTGGCAAGTTCAAGCCCAGCCTGGGCAACTTAACAACTTAGTGAAACCTTATCTTAAAATTTAAGAAAAGTGTTGGAAATGTAGCTCAGTGGGAAGGCCTCGGGTTCAATACCCAACATCGAAAAGAAAAGAAAATTCAATAATTGCATTCCTTTTTCCCTGTGTGGGTCAAATCCAGTTTCAGAATTTTTTTCAATCTAGGGGAGTAAAAAGGAACGGTTAAGACAGGCACTTAAGAGGAAACATTTGTCTTCCTTTATGTAATCTGTATAATTGGGTCCAGAGATTTAAGTGTGTGTGTGTGTGTGTGTGTGTGTGTGTGTGTGTGTGTGTGTGTGTATGTGTGCGTATGCAGTACCAGTGATCAAACCCATGGGTATGTCCCCAGCTCTTTCTAATTTTTGTTTTGTTTTGTTTTGTTTTGGCTTGGCTTGTTTTTTGAGACAGGGTGTCACTATATAGTTAAGACTGACCTGGAACTCACTATGTAGTCCAGGCTGGTTTCAAACTCACAGTGATCCTCCTGCCTCAGCCTCCTGGGATTACAGGAGTGTGCCACCATGACCGGCTCTTTCTAATTTTTAAGACAAGGCATCACTAAGTTGCTAAGTTGCCCAGGTTGGCAATAAACTTGACACTTGCATCCTCTTGCCTCAGCCCAGAAAAAAAAAATAAAGAAGTTTAAAATACTTTATTACTAAACAATTACTTTTTCTCAATGGTTTAACTTGGAACACAAGGAAAAAAGTAAGTGGAATTTTTTAAAGCCCATTTGAGTTACTTCAGGTCCTCATTCTTTAATAAAGTTTTTGAGAGAAAACTTCGAGTGTGAGCTCTAAAACACTGACAAGCAAATAAATAAGCGAACATTATTTCTGCCAACATGAGATCAAAGCTATTTGAGTAGATTCATAAATCTTGCTTGAAATGTTCTGTAGACCAAACTTCCATTCAGCGAAAAAACAAACTATTAATGCAATAAAAGAGAAACTGATCTACTAGATGCTTCAAGTTCTTCAGGAGCTGGGGAAGCAGCCTGTACAGTGAACTCTAAAAAAGTTAAACTCCAGCCCTCAAGGAAGCGTGGGAGCAGGACGTAGGGCTGGACGAAAGTGATCTTTTCCTAAAAAGCGAAATTAAACAGATCCTATCTTTTTATGATTCTTCAAGAAGCATTATATCATAACAGCATTAAACATTAATAAAAATAATAGAGAAGAGATCTCAAAGATTTTTCTTTCTCCTCTTTTAAAATGTAAATGCTCCTGGGAGGAGCCAGCCAACATCATATTGGTTAAAGAAAACACGGTCAGGAAATCAATACCAAAAAATTTGGGGGGCATCCTTGAGGAGACTTCTAGAAGGAAAGGAATGGCTACAGGAGTAATGTCTACTTTTTTTTTTTTCACCTTAAAGTCCCTTTGGTAACCTTCCAAGCTCTCCTTAGCATTACCCTAGGAGCACAATCCCTAGTTCACATCCTTTTTTCAAAGCAGAACGCCATCACCCCTTCAGTTTGTGGGCCTCCGTGATATTTCCTGTAACTAGGTCTTCTTTGGGACTCAGAGCTTCACCTGTAGGAACACTGGAAATTCCGCGCTGTCACTCGGGCCCTCCCGCAGACTGGCACTGCGTTAGCGTCACCCAGTGTGTGTGTGTGTGTGTGTGTGTGTGTGTGTGTGT